TCATTTTTCCTATGACAAAACCCTTAGGTAAGCGACATATACATTTTTGTAAGTTACTCTTCTGATCCCATTACAGTTCTTCACCAAGCAAGTCTGTCTCCTCTCATCTGTCTTCGTTAAAAGATAAAATTCTTGTATAATGAGACTTCTATATTTTCTCTTGTTCTATTAATACTTCAGCCACCCCTTTATTCCCTACTGTAAATTTTTGACTAAAATTATTTTTGCCACTGAATTAAGGAGTATATAAAGAATATACTCGATGTCTTCTATGACAGAAAGTGTTAAAATACAAATAACTGATCATTTATATTTGTTCCAACCAATTTGTGGGCTCACATCCAACTTGCTTTAGCGTTCAGCCAGTAAAATGCTAGCTTTGTCTGACCCTATGTTATTATGTGTATTAGACTGTGTAATAAAATAATACTCATGCTACCTGGAAGAAGTATTTACTCTCCTCCAGGATCTCTGCCCAATTTTACTATAGCTTTGTGCTTTTGACTCTGATGAATATTTTTTTCTAATCATTCTTTTCTTGTTTTACTATCAAGGGAAAGAGGCAGTGACATAGTAATTATCAAGCCCCTTCTTTCAGGGAAGTAACACTGTAAGAAGATTATGATCTTCTGTAATAATCAACTCATGCCTCTCTTTGAAACTCATATGAAAACTACCATGGGCTTTTCCCCCCAAAAGTTGAATTTATGTATATATTTTATACCATTCAAAATTTTTATACCACTTTAGGGGATCCTTAAACCTGCCGAAAATAGGCCAGTACAATATGATCCAGCAATTCTACTCCTAAGTATATATTCAAACAAATTGAAAGCAGGGTCTTGAAGAGAAATTGGTACACCATTGTTCATGGTAGCATTAGTCACCACACTCAAAAGGTAGAAACAACCGAAATGTCCATCAACAAATGAATAGATAAATAAAATGGGGTATATACATGCAATTGAATAATAAGGAATGAAATTCTGTACATGCTACAAGATGAATAAACTTTGAAGACATTATGTTTAGAGCAATAAGCCATTGACACAACATTGTAAACTGACTATACTTCAATAAAAATATATATATATTAAAAAAGAGTAATAAGCCAAATATGGAAGGACAAATATGGTCTGGTTGCACTTATTTAAGACACCTAGAGTAAGCAAATTCACAGTAACAGGAAGTAGAACAGAGGTTACCAGGGGCCGGGGGCAGGAGGAATAGGGAATTATTTAATTCGTTTCTGTTTGGATTGATGAAAAAACTCTGGGAATGGATAGTGGTGATAACTGTACTTAATGCCACTGAATTGTATACTTTAAAATTGCTAAAATGATTTTTAAAATGATGTTATGAGTATTTTACCACAATAATGAAAAGTCACATCGAAAAAAAAGCTGGATGTTAGAGGCTGATAAGCCTGGGTTCCAACCCCAGGTCTACCAGTTACCAGCTGTGTGTGGCTTTGGGAAAACTATTTAATGTTTCTGAATGTCATTTATAGTCCAGTGGACTGTGTTAAGAATAAAGTACCATGTTGCATAATTGCTTTTTGCCTCAAGGAGATAAGAATATTAACATGGAATAATACAAATGCAACAGGATTTCAATGTTGAAGAAACAGAGGTCTGTTCTGGCCTTCCATTGAGTAGGACAGAAGGAACACAAAATTGCCCAACCTTACCTAAGTCTGAGGTTTACTTCTATGTCTGCTTAAATTGTTTTTAGATTCTCATATAGGTTTTCCTCATTTTTGTAAACAGTTGGGGATTTTCTTTAGTATGAGTTTTAAGTCTTTGCAGTGTGTCTTCATATAGATTTTAAGACACAAGTACATATACAAACATATGCACACATGCACGCACACACTCTGCAGAGGAATAGCATATTTATCTGGAGATCAGACATCCTACAATATTAAGTGAAACATAACCGTATTTGCAGAATCATGCCCCAAACCCCTCTTGGTAGCAAATACCAGATATAAAGTATTTGCAGAGAAGAAGTGTCATGCCCCCACCCAGATGACGGTATAGAAACAACAACAGAAGAGCAGCAAGAAAAGTAAGAATAACAGCAGAGTGGGAAGCAGAAAAATAGGTAATGCCCATGTGAGCCTTGCTGCAGGCAAGATGAGTAACGTTGAGCCTGCAACATTCAGAAAAGGTTAAATTTCGTTCCATTTGCTCTGCTTAGGAAAATGGGGGTGTGTTCAGAATATTTTAAAATTGCATTCAAAATGATGAAAGTTTAATGCTAAAGAGGTAGAATCTGTTATTTGAAATACTTATTATGGAATGAGGTGTTGCTATTTATATATTAATATGTTCTATTTATATTGAGACATAAATAGCTAAACTTTATCAGTTTTATCATGTAATTCTTCCTAAAATCTGGCTGCTTCTTTCTGTCTCCGGCCCTTGACACAATGCCTGCCTCACAGTGGGCAGTATTTATTGAAAGAAAGAATGGAATGAATGAGTGAAAGAATGAAACTGTCTACAATATGTGTACTTCTGCATGACATGTATTACCCATCCATAAATAAAGACAGCCAAGTTTAAAACTATCCTTTTTCCTTTTCAGAGCAGGTCTCTTGGGACCGTTCATAAGAAAGAGACACCAGTGCTGTGACACATGCCAGTGCCACCGCCACCACCACCTCCTCCTCTGCCTCCACCTCCCCCACCGCTGGGAGCTCCTCCCCCTCCCCCGCCATCTGCACCCCCGGTAAGACCTGTTTTTTTCAGTCTGGTTCACTTGAATACGCTTGAGCAGGTTTTAGATGTTCAGAACCAGCTCCCGTAGAGCAGGTGGCATCTTAGGTAGCTGGCTCCACGGCTCCAGGGTGGGCCTGCGACCGCACTGCACAATCATGAGCTATGGTGAGAGCCAGAGTATGCCTGAGGTCATAGATCAAAGGTCACCCCTCATGGCATCAGCATTGCACACTAACCGTACCTGTAGTGCCGGGGCGTAGACCTGCCTGAAACTTGGCCCTTGCCCTGAAGAGCATGGAAAGAAAGCCCATAACATGAGTTACATCTGAAAGCTCTCTAACCAATGTATAGAAATAACAGGAATAAGTGCTGGCGTTCCACTGCTGAATTTGACACGAAGAGGGCATGAAGAAGATGAACAGTTAAAAGTGATAGTTTCATGAAACTATCATATGGGTCCTATGAAGGCTTGCTGGCACTGAAAAAGCGCAACTTAAAGTGAGTTCAAATACCATGCTATACTCATAAACGTAGCCATAATAAATAAACCTATCAAAACCCATATGGTTGGGAATTTGGGGGAATAAGCCGTTTTAAATGTTGCTAATGACACACAAATACCTAAGACTCAACAAATATTGGATGACTCTTTCTGGAGTGTTCTCGGACAAAAAACAATAAGCCTGAATGTATCACTTTTTTCCCTGGTAATTGAGTAGTTTTATTTTTGAGACTGACTTAAGAATTTAACCCTAAAGGAACCAAAAAAGAAATTTATACAAGGTTATGCACAGCAAAACTATTTATTCTAGTGAAAAATTTGATCTTAAATGGATTATGAGAACTAAATGAACTGTATTATGTCATGCTGTTAAGTTAAAAATTGCATTATGCCATAGTGTTAATTAAAAATTACATTTATAACTGTGCTGGCTATGGAAAGTCGATATGGAATCATGGATTAACTACAATGCACATTTTGTACATCATGAAATCAACTATATATATAATAAATAGCAAAGATCAGAAGAGAATTTTGAAGGCTGATAACAAAATTTTAAATTTCATTAGGGAATTCTTTTTCTTTTAAGATGTTAAATTCATAATAAATAAAAAAATTCTACGTTTCATTAATTTTTTGCATTCCCTCCCCCATTCCTAAATTTTTTCTTCTTTTTTTGCTATCTCAGGGAGGAACAGATCAATTTAGGAGGAAAATAACCATGTAAATTTCAATATTTTTCAAAACACATTTTTTCCTACACTCTTGGAAAAATATTTACAATGCATATGATAGGCAGAGAATTAACATCCTTACAGTTAGAGAGCTCTTGTGGGTCAGTATGGAAAGGATGAATAGAAAAATGAGCCCAGGATAAGACCAGGTGGAAGAAATACAAATGTTTCAGCCTTACTGCCATTGAATAAACATAAATTAAAATAATGAGAAACCATTTTCATCTATCAGTTTGGTAATGGTACTTTTTAAATGTTAGCTGGAGTGTTAGGAATCAGGCACTTAACATTCTTTTATTTTTTTGGTGGGGGATTAGGTTGGTTGGTTTGTTTGTTTATTATTGAAGTATAGTTAGTTTACAATGTTGTGTCAATTCTAGTGTATAGCATCATGTTTCAGTTATACAAATACATGTATATATTCCTTTTCATACTCTTTTTCACTATAAGTTACTACAAAATATTGAATATAGGTTCCTGTGCTATACAGTATAAACTTGTGTATAACTCTTAATAGGAGCAAAACTTGGTATAATTCCCTAAAACACAATTTCTTAATGTGGATCAAAACCCCTTAATAAGTGGTTATACTCGATGACCTAGTTTCACTTCAAGTCATTTCTTTTAAGGAACTTATCATAGATGTACAAAAAATAATTAGCCATAGGGTGTTAATGAAAGCATTACTTGCAATAGCAACCAAAAAAGAAAAGAAAGAATCTAAATATTTTAAACCAGAAAATTCAATAAAAAATTATTATGTAATCCACCAAACAGTGTACTAGGCAGCCACTGAATAATCACATCAAAATTATTTTGTAACTTCCAGTGTAATGATTGACTCAGGCAAGGATCATCCATGAAAACTGAAACCACGTAGTGAAAGGTTTTAAGGTAACAGGATGTTCGCAGGATCTCAAATATCACCCACAGATTACTTCTAATTAAAAAGGGGGAAATGTACTTTTAACATAGATCAAACTTGTCAGGGAATGACCTTTATCACAAACCTTTTCTGTGATGCAACCAGAAATACATAGCATCACTCTGCAGTAACCTGTCAAAAATGAGTGTTCTCTGAGCAAGCAGTTAGACACATCCAGAACGTGGGAACTTCTACAACAGAGGTTGGCAAACTAGAGCCCTTGAGCTCAGAATGGTTTTTATATTTTCAAATGGTTGAAAAAAATCAAAAGAAAAATTATATTTTGTGACACATGAAAAATATATGAAATTCAAATTTCAGCCCATAAATAAAGTTTTACTGGACCACAGCCATGCTTATTTATTTACATAGTGTCTATGGCTGCTTTTATGATACAGTGGCAGAACACCAATTAAACAACTTGTTATTCCCCCGAGAAGAACTCCATTCTTCTCACTGGTTAACTGTGATTTTAAAATTATACTCTATTATTGTCATATTTTTAATTTCATCAATAATAATTGTGCAGAAATTTGTTTTCTTTTTTGTTGTATGATGCTCACAGAGCATCCATGATTTTGCCTCTTGGCCCACAATGCCTAAAACACTGTCTGGCCCTTTAGCAGAAAAAGTTTGCCAACACGTATCCTACAAGGTAGCTGGCTTCAGTCGGCCTTCCTGTTGTCATCAGCAGCCAGTGATCTTGGTCCACTTGCATCCGATCATGTCCCTCCCCTGCATCACTTTTCGAGGTCTTCCCATCCCCCTCTTAACTATAGCCCACTCCCCTGGCATGACCCTGCCCCTGCCTGCCTCTCAGACCTCACCCTGTGCCCCTCTCCGCATATCTCCTACTTCAGGGCTTTAGCATGGCTGCTCCTTCTGCCTGGAACGCTCTTTTGGCTCAGCTCAGATATCACTTCCTGGAGGCATCATTTCCTCACACCCCACGCTAGCATTTATAACATACGTTTAATCCCCTCCTTCATAGCAGTTATCAGTTTTTAATTGAAGAGAGTCCACGTTTTCTGTTTTGTGGTCTTTTCTGTCCCTAGCATTTAGCTTACAATAGGCATGCCACTCATTAAATGAATGGATGGATGCAGTCATGAATGAATATCTGTGTAAACAGAGTTGGGAAATGAATTTAAACTCTTCATAAGCAGTGTTCAGGACTTTGAACATCTATGCTTATGGACCAGCATGGCAGATTTTATTCTGTCACCTTTGCAAGGAGGGGGCATTTTGTGTGGTATGTCTGTAATGAAAAGGGTCCTGTCAGGATTCTCCTTAGCTCTGGAAGACCTGGGGTTGAGACCAAGGCTATAAGTTTTTTTGATTTTCCCCTCCCAACCCCTCACCTTTCCCCTTCCTGCCCCTCCCATCCTCGTCTCCTCCTCTTCCCTAACATGCATGTTGAAACCAAGAGAAGGGCTGATGGGGCTTGCTGAAGTTGTGGAGCAGGCTCTAACTAAAAGCCAGACAGCTGTCATCATCTGGTTTCCCTTCTTTTCTTGCCCTCTATTTCCCTGTCTTTTGAGCTTTACTCCTTTGGCTCATCCCTCTGATAGCCAATAACAATTATCGAAATGGCCAGCATAGTACATTGGTCCACTTATAATTATTGTTGCTTTGGTTACAGAATGTAACTTTTAAAAAATCTAAAGAAAATACAATGGTTTTGATTTCTGAAATGTAGCAGAATCTTATTAAACTTTTGTTTTCAAATCTACTTTGGCCCCTCAGTAGTGTTCAAGATGTGAAAATAAACTCCTTGAGGTCCTGTGATATCTGTTTTTTTGTTGGTGGTGGTGGTGGTGAGTAGGAGGGGTTGCCACAGTTGTATAACACTGTCTACAAAAGAGGAAGAGAGTGTATGTGTCTCTGAACAGCTGATAAATTCTTTGGAGTTGGGTTGCCCAGGCAAAGCCTGGCACGAGGGTCATGGCCACAGCAGGAGATTTATTAACTTTTATAAGCATTATTTTTTTAATGTTGCTGTTCAAAGCTTAAACATCCCTAGGGAAGGCCTGTGTCTTATTATCTAAAAACAGAGGAAACTGGCTTGATAATCATTTATTTTTCATGAAAAGCAAAACCCTTAAGTAGAAAGATGCCATGGTGCCATGTACTCCCCCACCCGCCTGTTCGACAGGTAATATTTAACAAAGCGCTGGAGGGAGGTTACAGTGAGAAGCACATTGTGGCCCCTCACTGTTCTGTTCCCTCGTTACTCTTTGCCAGAGCCTTTGTTTGCATTCAGGAAACTCAGTGAGATAATTTTTCTCCTTGTAGTGTAAGGATTGCATGATTCATGGACAAGGTAGACTTTCCAGCGTCAGGAAATACTGGCTGTGCCTTCCATTGGGAGTTTTTCCCACCTCCTCTAGAATGCAGGAGCTCATGTGGTATAAAAAAATGTCAATCTGGGAAAGAAAATTTGGAAAAAGGAGTGGTATCTGAAGTCCCATGAGAGCCTGTTTTGGAGTTTTGTGTTTGCTGTGGTTAAAAAAAAAAAAAAGGTAGGGTCGGGGGGGCCCCAGGTGGAAGGGGCTCAGCAGAATTGGGAATTACTCTATATTTCTGGAAGAGGTAATTTGCATGTTGACTGGTGCATTTGGAATAATGAGAGCCTTAAAAATTCTTAAATGCTGTCATTCAGATTTTCCTGACACTGGTGCTTCGATTAGTGTTGCTAATGAGGATTGGGGACATTTACCCAGGGCTGACAGCGGACACTGGGACAAGGAGAACGCTTTTTGCATTAGGCCAGGCTATTAGGATAGTATTAAATGGACATTTGGTCTCTGCTTAAGTTTGCAGAAGTGCGTCTTTGTCTTCCAGTAATT